CTCCTGAACTTGACCACCTGACATCTTACCAGAAATTGTCCACCGTAAATCAGATGTTCTCAAGAAAGGGAGAACACGAGGCTGGGAGATGCTTCTCTCACACTCCCTCAAAACCGGGGTCACCACCGGCTTTATCAAAGGCACTCCCAGCTCAGAAGTTGAAAAGTCCTTGACTCATCTCAAAGCATGTGCCTACCAAGTTGGACACCCCATGTTACTCCCCATCATCATCCTCACGTATGATCTATCCCCCGAAAACGACGAGAAACAGCGAAAGGCTCGGCACTGGCTTCGCCGTCTCGAAAATGCCGTGAGTTTGCGCAATGAAGTTGAGGAGCAGGAACAGTACTTTCAAAACGGATTCATCGATATCGACGGTCTAAGTCGTGATCTGGTTGAGTGTCATGGCAATGTCATGTGGAAACGACCTCAAGCATATGAAGCACTGGTCAAAGAGATGGAAAAGGCCATGGAGACCTTCCGTTTTGCTTGGATGACACTGGCTCCTGCGGCCGAGGAGCAAAACGAAGCCGAAAGAAAGCACCGTAAGGAGATTCAAAAATTGCATCGAAGTATGGCATCTCGTTTGGACTTTTACAAAGTCAAGCTCAAGGGCTTGGAGAACTACATTCATACAACTCTCGAGAGACTCAAGGTTCAGCGGGAAGCGGTCAGTCACCCTCAAACTTATCGCATGCTGTTACTGATTTCTGGATAGCTCTACAACATCATGTCACAGCGTGAAGCAAGACTGAATCTTGAAATTGCAGGAGAGCAGAGGCGAATAGCCCATGCTAGCAAGCGAGACAGTACGGCTATGAAGACATTATCGCTCATGGGTGCCCTATTTTTACCTGGAACATATCTCGCATCCGTTTTCAGCATGACATTCTTCGACTTTGGAAAAGGTTTGCTATGGTTCTCCATTATCTATCTATTGGCGTTGCTAATCCGCTGACGCAGATGCCGACCCTGTCATTTCTGTTGAGCTTTGGGTATACTTTGCCATAACGGTTCCTGTAACGGCGCTGATAGTCGGTGCCTGGACCTTCATTGACAAACGCCGCCAAGAGCAGCACAAAAAGGACGACGCAGACCTGGAGAAGAATATCGACAAGATGGAAAAGGAGATCATGTTTGCCCTTAGGAAGCGGACAATGAGTAAAGCCAATACCTGGAACACTGTCAGCCCACCCCCGAAGCCATGAGGTGGAGGAAGGGAAGATATTGCTCGGAGATTTGATGATATTGTGGAAATTCTGGGTTTACCACGCGATTTACGACTCATGAACACATTGACGCCATTTGTGATGATATGGACGACTTCACTTCAAAGTTTTGACGAATACGATGCATTAGATATATATTTGCGTACAAAAATACGATACGTTAAAATGTGAGCGTCTGATGACGGTATCAATAGCTGTCTCCATGATATCCAGGTAGCACCGAGTCCGTTTCCTCGAGTCTGTCCGAATTATAAAATATAAGAAACGACTCACTCATGAACATGTCAATCAAACCCCAATCAGTCCTTCAACTCCACGACGGTTTATCAATACCGACTCTGGTAAGGAAGATAGGACAGTACTAAATCAAAGAGTCCTCGCTTTTCCCCGAAAGACCTTGCGCCGCCCATGTATAGAAATGATGTGTGTGGCTAGATACGAATCTGGCCTTCGCTAGAACCACCAAACCATCTACGGAAATCAGGTGCCGAGTTCGATGATCCAGCACCTGCAGTATCATCGTCGCCACCCATCCACTTTGGTTTCTTGATATCGTTAAACCATTTAGGGGCTTCGATACCATCCATGGTGTTTTTCATACGGTGACCGATGATGGTAAAGAGGTTATCGTCTTCGGGTGGCTCGTCGTTCCAATTTGCACCATAGCGATGTTCTGGGCCACGGCGGGCATTCGCAGCTGGAGCTCGAGCTGGAGACCGAGCTGGTGAAGAAGCGGCGCCATGGGCGGATGGTATAGACAAAATTGGAGCAGATCTGCCACCAAGTGTTCCAGCAGCCCCTATTCTAGCAAGTGCATCTTCTCTGCGATGAAAGAGGGTGTTCCCACCTAGTTCACGAGAGATGAGATCTCGGCCTTCACGCCAGGAGCCAGTACCATAAGTGGTGCCATTCTCCTCTTCGTCGTCCATCACATCCATACCAACAAATATTCGTCTGACCCGACCGTAAATGCCAAAAAGAGTAGCAAAGACAGGGAATAGTACGACTACAGGGAACAGGTCGTCAAAATAACGACCCAATGGTGTAAAGTCGATGAGTTGTCCGAGAAAGTGATAAAACACAGTCTTGTTGTAGACTTGGCTCGAAAGGAAGGTGATGAAGTTGTAAGAGATAGGAATAGTCAGTTTGGCCACCTGCATTGCATACCAAAAAGCGGACTCATGAGCGGTGTTTCGTCGAACGAGGGCTCGACCTCGCCAGACTTTGACCTCGGTCATTGAAATGAGTGCCGCGGCACACATGTAGCAGATCCAGAATGACGAGATGGCCTGTCCAGCGAAACCGACTTCAGGCTTATCGCCAACCCAATGATGAACCACAGTTAGCCTGATGATAGAAAGCTTGGGGAATGCAAACTTGACGACCTCGGACCAGACAATACAAGCCGACGCTGCTGCCAAGAATAAACCGAGAAGGACTTGAGCATAAGGCAAGATTTGGTAATAGTAGAGATATCGAGTATATGGCGTCAGGATGGCGGTCTTTTCCCAAAAGGTTGCATGAGGTGACACCTCACCAAACTCGAGCTTTTTCGATGCTGCCGAGTCCAGGATCGCTTGTGTTTCAGCAGCTTCTTGAACGAGGTCACTCCAAGCATTGACATATCGAGATCGAGCGTGTCTGGCGCGCACATACTTCCTAGTGAGATCGGCGAGATACTTTTCGGTGATGACATGTGGAATAATATTGTTATCGGCGCTGGAACCAAACCGGGTGCCTCGGGGTTGCGACTCGGGAAGATTGGCCATCTCTTGCAGTTCTTCTATCCAGTCTCGGTATGTGTTTGCGCTTCCTGTCTTGCGTCGGCCAAGCTCCGCAACCTGAACCTCAATATCCTCAAGTTTGGCAATCGAGTCCTCCATTTCTTCGTAAACCTTGGGAGCCTTGCTCTGGAGTCGTCGCAGTCGTCCGCTGATGCTTGCGCCGCGCATGAGTCGTCTAGGTATCGACACCAAGCCGTGACCCATGAGATAGATGGCGAGAATTAATCCCCAACAGTATGCGAGAGCCATAATAGTACCCTTAATAACGTCGACCTTGAAGGAGAAGCCGGAGGAGATGACATAGTAAATGAGCCCTACAAAACCAAAACCCAAGACGATGGCGTGAAACTGGGCATTGCTACGAACAGAGTACATGAACTTGTCGTATGGCTCTCGATATCCAGAGTCGGAGTATTCGGCAAGGATTGGAAGAATAAACCTGTATATGCTGATTAGCCTCCAGCACGATGCAGTACACCAAATAATCATACCATGTCAATGCGAATGTCAACCAATACGAAATGCGCCATGAAACGAGTAGGACTCGCTCAGGGAGCCATATGCCCCTTGAGTCTTCATCGCCAGTAACTGCGCTCGAGGCAAGATCGACCGGAACGAGGATCACGACAATCGTTGGTAGCCATAAGGCGAAGAAGATGGGAATGAGATAAAAGGCTGGTGTCGTCCGTAACGGGAGATAGTATCGTAAAATAAGGAGAACGACGAGGGATATGACAACTAAAGCGATGCACGAGAAGATGGCAGAGCCAACCGGAGACGAACTGCTTGTTATGTGTAACATTTCAAAGAGTCGAAGCGCATGGCGCACAAATTTGTAAGGATAAGGTTGAAGCGAAAGTCCGAGTTCTAAAGATGGTTTGGTTTGATTGACTGAGACTTGAGTGAGTGACATGCGATAGCCAGGGGTAGACTTAGCCTGGGTGTACGTACATTAGTAGGTACTGGCTGTCCCTTACGTCATTTTCTCTATACGGCACACACGCAGTTTTGGGGGTAGATTGGCCTGGAAAATTGGGCGCGAAGACTGACTGGTGTTGGCGTCCTGGTACGTACAAGTATTTCCTTGGCTCACTCCCGTCAGGCGCATGGATTTAATTGAATCGCGTAAAGTCGCGTTTCGGTGGACCCCTTCACCCAGACAACGACAACCATTCACAACTCGAGCGCATCGCGACTTGGGTTCTATCTTTTTCAGGACTTCGTTGCGCCAGGTCGCATTGTGTTTCTGATCGGTGATTTACTCTCACTTTCCTCAAGAGCAAGCAGAAAAAATGGCAAACATCGAAGAGTGTAAGTCTGGCGTCTGTCACGGCTTGATTTCCCAAATACTGACATTTATTAAGGGCTTGCCAACGCCAACGAGGCGATTCATATCAGCCTGGTGTCTCCCTCCGAATCTGGCCTTCAACATCTGGCTACATTTAACCCTCGACACACATACTCCATTTTCGGCGAGGAAGAACAGATCTTTGGATACAAAGATCTCAAGGTCAGCCTGCGGTTTCGCGCGAACGATATGCGACCGCACCTGAAGACATCCTACAACAAGAAATTCAACCTTGATGGAGGCCCTGAGCCTACTGATGTGGCTGCTGTTCTTAAAGAAGGCAATCATTTGCCTAAAAGTATGTTGCCCTTCCTTGAGCGCGCAACAAGCAATACTAACAGCACCTAGTCGCCTTTGTCACAGGAAGCGATTTCGAAGAGAGCTCCAAGCTAATTGGCGATAACTGGGTACCGCCTGGAACCCTCCATGCGACCTTCGATAGTCCTGATGGCGAGTACGAAATTTGGCGTGGAAATCTCGCCGATCCAGCTATCCAGCAACTCAACAGCCGCCTACAGATATTTGTTCCTCTTTTCATCGAAGGCGGCACTTATATCGGCCAAGATCCAGAGATGGACTCCACAGAGCTTGATCTCTCTGATGCCGATCGATGGACTTTCTTTGCCCTTTACCAGAAGCGAAAGGTGGCGGACAAGACCTCATATGTGTTTGTAGGCTACTCAACCATCTACCGATTTTACTATTTCCAACCGCCCACGCCCCCAGCGTCGCCTCGAAGCGATGAGTGGGAGCTGCCAAATGGTGAGGTGGACCTCGCCGAGTTACCCTCCCGAACAAGACTATCTCAATTCGTTATTTTGCCCCCTTTCCAGGGCAAAGGTAACGGAGCACGACTCTACAAGACCATCTTCGAGCACTACCATAAGATTCCACAGACGTATGAGTTCACTGTGGAGGATCCAAACGAAGCCTTCGATGACTTGCGAGACATCTGTGATTTGCAATTCCTCCGCACGATGCCCGACTTCAATGACCTGCGGCTTGATACGAGCGTTACCCTTCCTAAGAAGGGAACTCTGCCAAAACTGATTGTTGGCAATGACAAGCTTGAGACTATCCGACTTCAGGCTAAGATTGCACCTCGCCAGTTCGGTCGAGTCCTAGAAATGCATCTCATGTCTCAACTTCCCAAATCAGTACGGCCGACAATGGACATTGATGGAGACAAGCCAGAAGCTACACAGGCCGACAAGCTCCAGAGCAAGATCTGGAGCTTGATTGTTAAACAGCGACTGTACCGTCACAACAAAGATGTCCTATCTCAAATCGAACCTCATGAGCGCGTTGACAAGCTTGATGATACTCTGCAGGGTGTTGGACTAGAGTATGCGCGTATCCTCGCTGCCTTGGAACGTTCAGCGAAGCACTCTCAAAGCCAATCAGTAGCGAATGGCAAGCGAAAGCTAGGTGCAGAGGAGACCGAACAGGATCCTGGTAGCAAGAAAGCTCGCGTTGAGGATTCTTAGGTGTTTATGTATTTTAATTTCTTGACGCTTAACCGAATGAACGGATGATCTGGGCGTTGGGAATAATGGACGAAGGAAAATGTACTATCTTGTGTATAAATCAAACCATTACACCTATATGCAGTGAAACCTAGACTATGCCATGCCACGCCACGCCACGCAAACAAACAAGCCGACCATATTTACCGAGGCGAGAATAATTAACTCCCAAAGGTCTGCAGCGAGAAATGCTGAGGTCCTATAGAGTCTAAGATAGAAGACCATACTAGGATTTTGTCTTCTTTCCCATACCGTATCCTTATTAGTCAGTCATATACCATAGGAAGACCTTGCTATAGCAAGGAGTTCCCCGAGCCTTTGGCTTGGTCTGACAAATCCTCGACCTCTTTAGGCTCTGTTTTCGGTTCGTAGGCTGATTCTAGTCATTGGAAGTCCGATACTACTTCACGGTCTGAGATAGGTGGGGAACATGAATATGATGGTTGCCAGGGCTTTCTGGGAAGACCTGGCCGGTCATCGTGGCCATGATCCATTCATTCATAGCGTGCACCGGGAAATCTGGTGCCATTTACACCGTCAGCCCCCTTTCCAATCTGACCGGCCACAACAGCGGCCTCACGTACAGCTCTCGAGACGGAGCCACGGACTCTGCCCTCCTCAAGAACCAAGACACCTCCAATGGTGCAGCCACCGGATGTGCAAACCTTCTCCCGAAGAAGAGCAGGATGCTCGCCATTTTGGACAAGGCCAGCAGTGCCCCTCATAGACTGAGTAGCCATGCGCTGAGCATCGGCACGGGGAATGCCCATAGCAACAGCGCCATCGATGGCAGCTTCCAGCACCAGGGCGAAGAAAGCGGGACCTGAAGCACACAGAGCTGTCGAGGCATCCATATGTCGTGTAGGAAGGTAGACAACGTCACCAATGCGCCTGAAGATCCATGTAACGAGGCTCTCGGTGGCATGGTCGAGGGGAGAACTAGGGGAAGCAATAACAGTCATCGATTCACGGATCACGGCAGCTGTATTGCACATGGCCCGGACAATGCGGCATCGACCATCCTCTTCTGGATCCTTGGACGGGACAGCGCCGTGGAGAGCGATTTCAATGTCCTCGACTGTGATACCAGCACAAACGCTGATTAGAAGTTTGCCGTGCAGAGCTTTTGAAATGCCAGGCTCGCTCAGGATCTCTTTAACCATCCATGGCTTGCAAGTTAGCAGAACAACCTCAGCCTGCTGAACGGCACCAATGTTGTCGTTATGGACAACCTTGAGAATGGAGGAATGCTCCCAGAGAGCGCCCTTGACGCGTTTAGCGCCTGCGGCAGTAGCAACACTGGCAACGAAGCGTGAAGGTAGTCGTTCAGGCACCTCGTCGCCAGGAGTTGAGGTTCCTGATCTGGGGAGGGACTGGAGAGGCTTAGGTCCTTGCATCTCAGCGAGTGAGTTTAAGATACCACTGAGAATAGCAACTCCCATGGTTCCTTGGATTTGTTAGCAGATGAAAACTGTACAATAAAACACCCGCAGAAGTTTATGGCATCGCCCTCAAAAGAACGACGATCTGCATCTGGTACGACGAGTATTTCTTTCGACTTACCACAACCAAGAACAGCCATGGTGAGGTCTGTGCTGCCGTTTGAGCCATAAGGCGTGAGAGCCATTGTGTTGGGAGACATGATGTTTTGCAGTCGATGAAAGGGAAAAACCACTTGTTATTCAAAAGTTTTATATGGAGGGGAAAACTTTGGCATAGAGGAGATGCTTGCTACCTGAGTCAAGGACGGGGCCCAAGTGGTAAAGTGGAGGAAGCAATGGGGGAAAACGGGACCGAAAATAAGAAGGATAATTAAAAACGGGAAGGGAAAAAAAAGCCTGGGGAAATGGAGGAACAGAGCATACTTATGTGGGAAAATTCTACTTATAAACAAATACTATTGCCAGTTTACTGAGAAGCAAATGCGCGCAAAAGACTGAACTTTACCGGGTAACGTAAAGGAAAGTGCTTTTGCTGCCCAATGCGCATCCTGGCCACACGGTCAAGACGAAGCAAAAACGGAATACGTCAAAAATAAGGGGTAAGCTTGAGACTCACGCCCGTTGATACTTCTATGTACAAGCCCTCCAAAAGGGTGCTATTCACCGAGAAAAGTGACGAAGCAAATTACCACAGGCAAAGTCTCACCATGTCAGGAGATAGGAACCATTCAGTACCCTCCCGTTGGGTTCCGACTTCTTCCAGACAAGTTCAAAGTCTAGCCTGGGCCGTGTAAGTGAACCCCTGTGAAGTGAGGTAATTCGTGAATCTGACGCCCCTGAGCATGCTTCAGGGCTTCACCAGAAGCCCTTTCACGAGACAAGTCTTCACCGGAACCCTCTTATGGTTAGACTCATGCGTTACACCTTCGGCCTGTCCGGGCCGGATCGATTCCTTTCGTGTGGAGGAGGGATGAAGCTGGAAAAGAAAAAGAAATGCTGCGGGAACGGTGAGACCTGGTTATTCCCGCCGGTTTCATATCAAAAGTCGCTTCTTCGCACGGCCACAGCGTGGCACAATTCCTTTCCCCTTGTAGACCCACTATCAACCTCATCGACAAATTATCCGGGCTTCTCACCTACCACCTAATTCAGCTAAACAATTCAGACTCACTATAGCTACTTTATACCAGAGCCTTTTGTTGTTCTCTCTCCCTATCTCTGCCTTGGCTCTAATACCCTCAAACCGTGGTTTGTGTTTCAACTTATCCGGTCTTTTGATGGTAAATTATTTTGAGAATTTCCACTCTGCATAACCAACTCACAACGTTCTCAACATGGCCGACCCATTTGAAGTGCGAATGCGCTTCACCTCCCAGCTTCAACATCTCAACGCGTCAGTTTCATCTGCTCAGAAAGCAGCACAGTATGCGCTTAGATTCAGAGATATGGACGAGGACTTGCATTCGTGCATCCTGGAACAGCTTGAACGGGTAAGTCGGACCATTTCATCTCAGCGGACTCGGCATTGACACAAGATAGCAGAACAATATGAACATACGTGCCAATATCATGTACTTTATCGAGCATTTCCTAGATATGGCGCAACGCGACGGACATCCCGACTACATTCGGATGATGCAACGGGATATTATCCGTGTCGTCGATGCTGTTGCCCCGGATGATGGGTCAGGTGCTGCCAACGTCAAAGTGGTCCGAAAGGTGAGTTGATCCCCGCATCATGGCGCAACCCCAGATTTGTTCTAGAACCTGTCGCTCACATGTCGGTGCAGGTGTTGCAGGGTCTTCAAGGGAAAGGGTACCTGGAGTCGCAAGCAGTCAGTCAGATCGAAGATGTCATCAAAGAACGTGAGACAAATGTCGAAGACCTAGGCCTAGCTTCACCAAATGGAGATGCCGATATGACAGACATGCCCCCCTCACAAACCATACCTAAAGCAGGTCGACGGAGCACGTCACACCAGCTTGACAAACGTCAAATTGAGCAACGAATTGAGGAGGACCGCGAGCGCCACAAGCGTGAGCGTGAAAGCATTTGGGCAGTCCCCAAAGTCGAGAATGCTGAGATGGACAGACTGTGGGAGGAAACGAGTGACTTTGGAGAAGACGACGACCGTCTGCTGACCGAAGAGCTGGATGACTTTCACAAAGAGATGGAGATACAGTCTAATTGCCAGCATAATCATGGAGCAGCGAACGGCAACCGTCACTAAATGGAACCGAATCATCTTGCATTTTTATGGATATTGGTTGGCGTTCGGTCCTGGGCTCGCATTGGGATTGAGAGAAAAGTATTGATACCCGTTGTTTTCGGCATGGCTGGCTAGAGTAGCGAAGTTTCAGATCGACCTGCCATGAGAATTCAGGTCGCATGTAGATGAACAATACATTTGTTCAATATGATATCATAATTAAAAAGAACCCACCACTGAATGAGCCTTTCTAAGGGTACATATTGTTAGATACTAGTACAGATGTTTTTACACATGCAATCCAGCCATCTATCGTGCCAAGTCGCCAGTCGTTGTGCCCCAGAGATCCAACAATTTTACTCCATAACCACAGTGGCGCCCAGCTCCTTCATGGCGGCAATAATCTTCTCAGCATCTTCTTTCGGGACGTTCTCCTTCATCATCTTGGGCGCACTCTCGACGAACTTCTTGCTATCCACCAAGCTCAGACCGAGCATGTTCTTGATCTCCTTGATAACCTTGGCCTTGGATGGGGCATCGAATCCTTGCAACTTGAGAGTGAAGAGCGTCTTCTCGGCGGCAGCAGGAGCAGCCTCCTCAGCTTCTTCGGCGGCGGCGGGAGCAGCAGCGGGAGCAGCAGCAGCGAAGCCGCCTATGGGCATATCGGGAATGTTGAGCTTGGTCTATTGAAAGGTTCCAGTTAACAATTATACGGGAACAAAATAACCCCTCCAAGGTTCAATTGAAGCCGAATTATTATCCTTACTAACCTTGAGGCTTGAAACAAGGTCAGCAGTCTCCAAGAGAGTAAGCTGGCTGATCTGATCGACAATGGCTTCGATCTTGGGGTTGGCGGGAGCGGCATCGGTTGAGTTCCATCTCCTCGAGGCAGCTGAGACTCTGACAAGCTGTGTGGGTGCCCGGGTAGCGCGAGCGGATCGGAGGTGGCGAGCACAGCTCTGGGCGGCGTACCGACAAGACATGGCCATTTTTGTGATTGCGGTTGACTGAGGATTGCTCAATTCAAAGAGTCGTCGCGGGCGGGCGTCTGAGGAAGCGTCTTGAAGATTTTCGAGCTGTCTCGATGGTTTGGCGGGCTAGCGGCTGTATCACGTGTATAATTGGGCCCTCACTTACATCGAACCATTGCATCCTTGGATTGAAGCATTCCATCCGACTGTGCCCATTTTCGAAACTTGCATAGGTTTGGGCATGGAAGAAGTAAATGTTATAAATGGTCAAGTATATATGATCAAACGATATGATGTGGCTGTTGCAATGCTATTGATTGACCCCGCCTGGAAAGCAAAGGACGTTAGCATCCGTGGAAGGATATAGGCGAGATAAGTGCCTAGGCGAGAGGATCGACGGAATTATATGTCGATAAATTACGAGCAATCTCGGAAAGACACAATGCACTTCTTCTCAGAATACCAATTTTTACTGCAAATATATCAAGAATAATTGACGTTCAGGTGGATTGATTCTTGAATCAAGTGTAAATTCAATCCACATACAGAGTCCTACAGGTTAAGAACTAAAACAGATTAGCGTACTAACCTATTCGTGAGTGATAAGATAACGAAAAAAAAAGTTCAAGAGAGCAGTTCTCAGGTTTAAGCTTGGAAGCACCACAAACCATCAACAGCCGAAATTTCGTCGACAGAGACCACAATCATGGCAATGATTGATGTCTCGCGGCAGAGGAGGTCGCTCCTTGCGGATGCGATTGTATTGGAACATCTGCCAGCAGAAATACTGGCCATTATTCAAGACCCGTCCTCGACGAAACTGCTAGATGCTGTTGCAGAGGCGGCTCTTTGCCCGCCACTTACGGAGCGTATCTTTGCGCATTTCGAGCATCTTTTCCCAGACGTTTGTGCTCGATGGATCCTCAACCCCGGAAATGGACAACAGCGCATACGAATATACTCAGCGTTAGCTCGAATTCTACCCTTTGCTCCTTACCTTTCAACATTTATTGAATACGCATCCTCTACTCCCGAACAAACGACGAACTCACCCTCTCTCCGACTCCCACCCTTACGGTTAGACCAAAATGCCATGGAACAGGATGGAGAGATCCTCTTACAGAGTCTCCTTGTCGTTTGGAGATTAATCAGTTTCGATTCGCACAATTTTGGCCCATTGACATCCGCTGCCTTGATGCAGACCTTGTTTAAGCATGAGAGCAGAGCTGTGCGTTATCTTGCGACTCGAATTTTTATCCAACTCCTCCATGGTTCCGATTGGAAGCTTGAATCTCTTATCCAGGAACATATTGGCAAGAGCGAGGCCATCCTCGCAGACTTCGACGGTCGATCGATCGATTATGGATTCCTTTCGCTGTACGAGCAGTCTCGAGTGAAGTCTTTTCTGGCCCTGCGCGAAGAAGTGCAGGCCGCTCACGAGGCCGCAACAGATGATTCTCCGCTCACGCAGACCCTCACTCCCTACGTTGTGTGTTATGGCAACGTTATTCTGCCCAGACCCCTAGGTCCAACCGGGGAACCCTCCAGCCTTGTCCTTACCCCCACAACCGTCTCAAATCTGGAGCGATTGGCGACTTTGCTCCGCGAATCTGATCCGGTCATGTTATATGGTCTTCCTGGCGTTGGAAAGACGGCCCTTGTTCACGAAATCGCCAAGCAACTCGGCATGTATTCTAACATGGTCACATTGCACCTTAATGAACAAACGGACGCGAAAATGCTTATTGGACTATACTCGACTGACTCGAAGCCCGGTAGTTTTCAATGGAGGCCCGGTGTGCTGACAACAGCCGTGAAGGAAGGCCGATGGGTATTGGTGGAAGACCTTGATCGGGCACCGACTGAGGTCTTGAGCACGCTGCTACCCCTGATCGAAAGAAAGGAACTACTCATCCCAAGCCGAGGCGAAAGAATACGAGCAGCCAGCACTTTCCGACTTTTTGCAACTGTGCGAACGTCTAGGGGGATGAATGGCCGAGAGAATCTGCCAAGTCTGGTTGGCATTCGTTTCTGGCAGAGTCTGAGTACACAAGCCCTCGCAGCCTCTGAACTTGAGGATGTTGTGGGTCAGACGTACCCCATCTTGCGAAAGTTCATCCCTAGCATTCTGGCAGTGTATGCTCGTTTGTGTCGCCTTGGCTCCACGCCTGGCGCTTTAGCTCGAGGCCGAAATATTATGGACCGTCAAGTGACATTGCGAGATCTGCTCAAATGGTGCCGAAGGTTGCGCGAATGCTTGGTCGCTGCTGGATCAAAGACGGGAGAAGAGCCAATCACCAAGACAACGAGCGATCAGATGTTCTTGGAAGCTGTTGATTGCTTTGTTGGAAGCTGCCCCGATCCTGAAATTGGCAGGCAGCTCATTGTTGCGATTGCTGAGGAGATGCAATTACCCAGGGAATTAGCAGAGCACTACTTCACTACACACATACCCAATCTGAACGAGAGTGATAACCAGTTCAGCATTGGACGTGCTGTGTTACGGAAGAAGAAGCAATCGAACCGAATTCAGAAATCTAAACGACCCTTCGCTAGCACAGCGCACGCCAAGAAGCTGTTGGAACAGATTGCTGTAGCGGTCAAGCTCAATGAACCTGTCCTCCTTGTCGGAGAAACTGGTATCGGCAAAACAACTGTAGTACAGCAATTGGCTGAGTCTTTGGGCCATAAGCTTATTGCTGTCAACTTGTCCCAGCAGAGTGAAGTCGGTGATCTTCTGGGTGGCTTCAAGCCAGTCAATACTCGGACCTTGGCGATGCCCCTGAAGGAAGAGTTTGAAGATCTTTTCTCGGCAACAGGTATTTCCGCTTCAAAGAACCAGAAGTATCTTGAACAAGTTGGCAAGTGTTTTGCCAAGGGGCAGTGGTCAAGGGTGTCAAAGCTGTGGAAGGAAGCTCCCAAAATGTTCAACAAGATCGTCAAAGAGCTCGAAAGAGTTCATACTGAACAAGCAGAGACCAGGAATGGTGACGAGCAACCGACAAAACGTCGAAAGACCCAGTCAAAGCTCCAAACCCTGCTTGACCTACGTCCAAGATGGGATATGTTTGCTCGTAATCTTGAGCAGTTTGATGTGCAGATCTCTGGAGGTTCTGGAAGTTTTGCTTTCTCTTTCATGGAGGGAAATTTAGTCAAGGCCGTGCGTAACGGTGACTGGGTTCTTCTTGATGAGATAAATCTCGCGTCGCCTGACACGCTTGAGAGCATCGCGGATCTCCTGACTGGACCTGACGAGAGACCATCCATTTTACTCTCCGAAACTGGCGAGATTGAGAAAATTGAAGCACACCCGAACTTCCGCATTTTCGGTGCGATGAATCCTGCGACCGATATTGGAAAACGCGACCTCCCAGTGGGCATTCGCTCCAGATTTACTGAAGTCTATGTTTCCAGTCCTGATAAAGACCTGAAGGATCTTCTCACAATCATCAGGACATACCTGGGAAGTAGCAACAGCAAGAATGATCAAGCGGCAGATGATATTGCCCGTCTATATATCAACACCAAGCGACTGGCCGAAGAAAAACGATTAGTCGATGGCGCGAACGAAGTACCTCATTTCAGTCTTCGGACCCTCACACGAGTTCTCAGCTATGTGAACACTATCGCTCCCTACTATGGTGTTAGAAGGGCTTTGTATGAGGGTTTCTCAATGGGCTTCCTTACTCTCCTTGACCGAGAGTCCGAAAAGATGCTTGTTCCCCTAATATCGCACCACCTTTTCGAGAAGCATGGAAACCCCCAGTCTTTACTTTCACAGGCCCCGAAACACCCAAATGACGGAAAGCAATATGTTCGTTTCAAGAATAAGAACAGAGACAGACAGTACTGGCTGTTCCAGGGCAGCGAAACTCCTATTGAGCGTGAAGACTATATCATTACCCCTTACGTTGAACGCAATCTTCTGAACCTTGTCCGAGCCACTTCTACAAGACGTTTCCCCATACTGATTCAAGGCCCTACTTCTGCCGGAAAGACGAGTATGATCGAGTACCTCGCAAACTTCACTGGTAACAAGTTCGTGCGAATCAACAACCACGAACACACCGATCTTCAAGAATACCTGGGCACCTATATCTCGGGTTCTGATGGCAAGCTCAGTTTCCAAGAAGGTATTCTGGTTCAAGCAATGCGCCAAGGTCACTGGATCGTACTCGATGAGCTGAATTTAGCACCGACTGATGTCCTCGAGGCCCTGAATCGTCTTCTGGACGACAACCGAGAACTTCTGATCCCCGAAACACAAGAAATTGTCAAACCTCACGAGAACTTCATCTTGTTTGCTACTCAAAACCCCCCTGGTCTTTATGGCGGAAGAAAGGTGCTCTCAAGAGCGTTCCGTAATCGATTCTTGGAATTACACTTTGATGATATTCCTGAAGATGAGTTGGAGTTTATCCTCCAGCAACGAAGCCGCAACACCTCTCCTCCGGATTGCCGCAGAATTGTCAATGTCTACAAGGAACTATCCAGGCTTCGCCAAACCAGTCGATTATTCGAGCAGAAGGACAGTTTTGCAACACTTCGTGATTTGTTTCGCTGGGCATTGCGAGAGGCCGATACCCGCGAGGAGATTGCTGCTCATGGATTTATGCTATTGGCCGAAAGAGTCCGTAATGAAGAGGAGCGTATCGCAGTCAAGGAGGTCATCGAAAAGGTCTTTAAAGTGAATATCAATCCCCAAGACCTGTATTCCGCTACAGTGGCCCCTGAACTGAAACACTTCACCAGCGAACCCAACAGTCAAGGCGTGATATGGACGCATGCGATGCGCCGACTCTACGTCCTTGTCTCTCGGGCGTTGCGCAACAATGAGCCCGTCCTTCTAGTTGGTGAGACAGGCTGTGGAAAGACAACAGTTGTTCAATTGCTTGCGGAGGCATTGAGGAAGGAGCTTCATATTGTCAACGCTCACCAGAATACTGAGACGGGTGATTTGATTGGTTCACAAAGACCTGTCCGTAATCGTGGAGCTATTGTCGATGCTTTGGATGCCG